GAAATATTTATCGATCAAGCTGAAACTTATAGATGTGATTACTAACACTAACCTCTATAATTGCTGAAATTTTTAGGTCGAACTGTCTTTGTTTTCTAATTTTTCTCAAAATCATCCTGGTCCACCTTATACTCTATTATAAGAGAATACAGCACTATTTTCGTGATCATGAGTTTTGGGACAAATTTCAAGATCCCAAACTTTTGGTTGCATAATCCAGTAGTACTAAGATAGTAGCCTTCGCAAAAACAGTTTGAGCTAAATCTATCACACTGATTGGAAGAAAGCCTATTCTAAAGATAGAGTACTTTTATATGAATATTATGATATATGGTTAGAAATGTCGATGATGCTTTGTCACTACATATACATGATTGTATACGATGGTTATGTTGCCCATCTCGAAATATATGTCTGGTAAAAATCTCAGGTCTCTATCACGTCCTGGTGAAGAGATAGCATGAAAATACTGCATTTAGACGACTAACAAAAAATTTCAAAAATTGATAAAAAGGCATTTTTAGTTCTTTCAGTTCGTATTTCGTATCTCAGGCAAATGTCAATCTTTAGAGCTAAAAATTTGGTTTTATACCTAAGAATCTTTTCTCTACAAGAAGGGCTCACTCTCGACAAAATCTGAGAACATCAATTGAGCAGCTGTATTGAGAAATCGGTTGTCCTTCTTGTGCAGTGACTCTTATCCATTGAGGGATTCAAGATATTCATAGATTGATATTCACCATAGAAATAAAACTTTTTTAGAAAATTGAAAATATTGGTACTTCGGATTAACTTAAAATTGTATAGTTTTACTTATTACTGTCATTGATAAGTCAAAGAAAAGGAAAAAGAAAATGTGGACATGTGGATTCTTTGTTTTTGATGTATGTTGATAACTTCTTTTTTTTTACGAGGTTGTTGCTCGCATACATCTGTGTCTCTTTCTTCTATTTTATTTCTAATCCCTTCTCAAATCTTATACAAAACATTCTTTTCCATTGTATGTTGTATTTATAACACAAAAGCTAAAGGAAATAATCTTCAAATTCTTTTATTTTATTTTTTCGATAATAAGTATCAACGTTAATGGGTAACGGTCTAATACAAGTGAAGCCTGGTTTGTGCGAAGATGGATGTGATCTCACAATCAGTTGGCTCTTTTTTGGAGGTATTTTTTTATTAACTTTAATCGGTCTTCGTCGTATCTATCATATTTACCGACCAAAACAGCATCAAAGAAAAATTAATCAGAACGACAAACGTTTACCACGACGTAAAGATACAATAAAGGACTTCTCACGTGCTATTCAAACCAACGATCAATTCATTCTTCCTGTTAATCCCAGTAAAAGAACTGAGACTCATCAAGATGTTTATTTTTTGTCAATTGCAAAGTCCTCTACAACTTGTATTGTCGGTATGGATATTTATGCAATCCCAATTGATGAAATAGATAAACCTATTAATCAAGTTTTTCCATTGATCGAAGAACGAAAATTAATTTGTTATTGCGATGGTAGCTATTCTCATTATATGCAAATAGGTCACTTTGGATTTCGAGCTTCTAATGGGGCGCATAGAATTCGTTTTTTTTCTCCTCGTGATCCAAAAACTGGTAGTACTGATACAGAAGTTCTTGCTGCATGTCTCGCCATTCAGTATGCATTAGAAAAGCATTACAATAGATTGATTATCTATACTGATAATTCTAAAGTAGAACAACTTCTCAAACGTCCGAGAAAGAAAGACATTATTAATTATTCTAATACTTGTCAAATTCTTAA